CGGCCGCCACGAAGCTCCTGGATCCCAGCTCGAAGGAGATGAAATCCTGCCCGTCGTAGCTGTACTGATAGGATCCACGGACGCTCCCGTCGGACAGGAGGTCACAGCCAGAAAGTGTCTGCCACGTGTGGAGACCTGGGGGGTGGGATCAGACCCATGGAGACCCTGGAATTGTGTCCCAGCCCCACAGAGCCCCATTCCAGCACTATGGAGCCCCAGAGCCTGATGGAGACACACAGAGCCTCATCCCAGCCCTTGGAGTGCCATGGATCCACATCCCAGCCCCACACATCCCATCCAGCCCCACAGATTCCCCCCATTCCCTGGCTCCCCCCACTCACCCCTGCTGTGGTTGTACCGGCCCCGTGCTATCTCCAAGTTAGTGGTCTCAATGAGCTGGGTCCCCTCATTGCGCTGGGTCTCTCTATCCCAATATCCCGGCTCAGCTCCGGCGGCCATCCACGGCGTCAGTGGCTCTGCTCGGCCCCGTTCGCTGTCGTAGCGTGTGATGGGGATCCCATCCACGTATCCCATCTCCATGAATTGAGGGATCCCTGGGCCGGGCTCCGACACCGCCACATCCAGGAAACGCAGGGAGTGGAGAACTGTGGGAAACGACTGGGCTGTAGACAGCTTAGGCCTTGAATTTGGGCAGATATAGCTGTGAGGTTGTAAAAGAATGTAAATATGCAGGGTGAGAAAGCAGAAAAGGAGGAAGAACTGCAGTAAACAACAAGTGTTGTTTTGATATTTTCCAGCACGCGAAGGGATGCCGACCACCTATTAGAAGATGAGCTTAGACATGTGGACAAGAACACATAACCAATGAAATATAGTATAGCTGCGCATGGACAGAAGAAAAAGACTATAAAACTAAGCCTGCTGTAAATAAAGTGTTCGTTGCCTGCCAACCAAGTGTGTGTTTTTTTGGCCACCGCAAGTGGTGACCCTGGACGTGATTGATTGAAAAAGGACTGCGGAGCGAGAGAGTGGAGCGGCGGAGCCCAGCACAGCAGCAAAGCCAGTGGACCTTAGAACTGGAGTCTGGACCTAATTACAGACACCTGGGAGAAGGTGAGCCACTGGGGATGTAATGGGAGTGCAGATTACTACAGAGGAGAAGTTGATTGTGACTGTATTAACTAAAATACTAGAGAAACGTGGTGTTAAATATGAGGAATGAGTGCTCTGCACCTTGCTTGTCTGGTGCAAACAGAATGGGGTAGATGCAAATGCTGACTGCCTTTCACACAGACACTTGGGAAAATGCGGAAAAGTGGCTTTTGACGCCGCTACTAAGGGAGATTCCGTAGCCACTAGCTCCTTGACAATGTGGCGATTAGTGCTTGAGTCTCTTAAACAATTAAAGGCAGACCGGAGTGCTGCTTTGGCCGCGTCCAATGCTTTGAAATCGGACACCTCTAATGGTGCAGCTGCCGACTCAAGCCCCGGCATGGCAGTAGACTGCACTAAAGTCCCTTTGCCGCCTGACACGGCAGAGGGCTGGGATGCCCCCGGCCCGGAGCCCACCCTCCCACTCCCGTCGCTCCCCCTCTCCACTCCGGCCGCTTTGCCCCCTCCCTCCGCCTAAGGACAGTGAGTCATCGGAGAGATCGGGGGGGGGGGGGTGAGGGGGGGGGGGGGGGGGGGAATGGGGGGGGGGGAGGGGAAGGGCCCATGTTAATAGACTTGTCTGAAGAAGGGGGGCCAGACAGTTTGAAGGTGATGGACTTGTTCCAGCGGAATCACAGTAGATCTGTGTAGGACGGAGGAGGGCCAGACTGCTGGCCTCCTGCGTCGGAAGCAGTGCCTTCCACACCCAGGCTAGAGAATGTAGCTGCCTTTCTGTTAACTCTCGTGTCAACTGTGTTGTCTGTCCGATGTGTCGTTGTGAGCTCAGGGTGTTGTTAATGGTACCATAATAACTTATCTGTTAAACTGGGGTTTTCTTTGGACCCTACAGTGCTAGTGTGTGTGAATGTGTTGGGGGCTGTGTGTGGAGAAGTGAGCATGAGTTTGTTAGTAACAACGTTAAACCCCAGGGATGGGGGTCCAGGAGGTTCCCATCCTGTTGGAGCGTCCTGAGTGGACGCAGGAGCTTTAGAATTCGCTTTGCGATCGCCGCCACCATCGCCCCCGGTCGGGGCCAGGCTGCCGCGCAGAAGCTGCGGGGGGCGGCAGGGGCCCAGCGCCGGCTGGGGCAGCAAGAAAAAAAAAAGAGAAGAAAAAAAGAAGTAGCTCCTGTCGTTTCTTTTCCCTCTCCTCTGGAGGCAGACAGGGGAGCTGGTAGCAGCTGCGGCAGTGGCTGCAGCAAGAAAAAAATCCTAAGTGCATGTGTACAATTAGATGCCACACATGCCACAGTTGAGACTTAAAGAAAAAAGGTTAAAAATAATATAAAAATTAATGAAAAGAGAGAAAAAAGGAAAAAGAAGAAAAAAGAGAGAGAACAAAACAAAATCCTTGATTTCATCCCAGGTGCGGGGGATGTATGCTCTGTATTGAAAGACCTGAGATGCATTCCAGTTCTGCAGATGCGGAGGCTGTTAGGAATCCCAGAGGGAAACCAGGGAATGCTGAGGAGTGTGGGGCCTGCCCAGATGTCACATGGAAGAGAATGTCCTGAAGATAATTCATTGTGTCTGCTAACTCTTACTAACTGGTGTGGTAACTCAGTCATGGTGTATATCTGTCACTCATTTGCCTTTGTGGCTGCACCTGATGTTGTGATTAGTGTGACTAATAATGCCTTAAATATCACTTCAGATGATCCTTATTTGTTTGGTTGTATCACAAATCAAAATGTATTCATTCTCAATCTGTCATTGGTAGCTCTCACGAGCAGAGGAGCCAAATTGTGGCTCCCAGTGGGCCTGGCCAGGGGCTGGGAGGATGATGCAGGATACAGCAAATTGGGGAAACTGTTCTAATTGCTTTTGTTATCTTTGCATTAATCATGGCAGCAACCACGGCCATGATTACTCCTGCATTAGCCCATTCAGTGCAGGCCATGTATCTTGAATAATAAAATGCATTGGTTTTTCTTTCTTGTATAGCAGGTCTCCTGCCCTAACGGATCCCTGGATCTACTATTCCAGAGCTAAGAAAGTCTCTGCTTCTTAGATGAGTGCACCAACAAGTGTTTTAACTTATTCTTTCTGTACGTATTGTTTGTATTGCTGGTAAGCAAGAATCAGAGCTGAAATCAAAACTTGCATTTGGCTCTAGTAAAGAAGATCATAACATGACTGTATTATGAATTTGGCTGAAATTTCAAAACAAACTCAAAAATCTAAATCAGGTGACTTTTGAAGATGTCTCACTGGCTTTAGAGATATCTTCAGCAAACTTACTTCATAGTATCCAAACTAGAAAGACTCTAAAAGGGTGGATGGCTAGTATACTTCAAAAAATACCAGACAATACTGTGATTATTGATTATTATATTTCTCTTGCCTTTCATGAAAATTGGTATTGTTTTGTTGCACCAATTGTTTTGCAGTGCTCATGTTTGTATATGTTTTGTCCCAGTAGTTTTACAGCAGGTGTCAAGAATTGTTTGGAATATCCCTCTCTCCTCTCTGATTGCTGCAGCATATGAAAGAGATCTTTTGGTTTCCAAGTCCACACAGGATTCTATGTGACAATGCGTGAGGTGCTGAGCCTCACAGAAGAAGAATCCTGTATTAGAAAGCAAGAAAGTGGCTGGTTGGCAAGACTGCAAATGAAGGACTGATGTTTTTTGGACAACCCTCCCCCCATGGGCCCTGTTTCGCATCATACCTGCAATCTTTGAGACAAACTGGTAACATTATAGCATGATAGTTTGTTCAAGTTGTTTAAATGCTTTGTCTAACTTGTGCCTTGCTTTAATGCATACCCTAGTTAAGTGAATTTTGATCATGTCCTGGATACTTTTCTTCATGCTCTTATTTTATACTTAAATATAGAGCATTTACTATCATGTTAATGGAAGCCACATAAACATAAGAAATAAGTCTTCCAGTTGGCTTGGTCCTGCTCTGTATGTGTCCAGTGAATGCTCTTGAGTTCTTCACAGCACAGAAGCTCTGAGCATTTAACACAAGCAGTGACAGTGCCTGGTGCCTGGTTATGGTGCACTACCTGCTTTGTCCTACATGATTATCTGCAACCTTTTATTGATAACTGGCGGTCAACCACTTCATACTATAAAAGCTGAATCCCTCTTATACAGCCAAATTACAAAAATTCTAAAATTTGAAGTTCTTTTGTAAAAACTGTTTAATAGTCTAGACTCTACTTTGCTGAAATTCCAGAGATTCATCGTGTTATCTGAACCCATAAGATTGGACACTCCTGTTCATCTGTTCCAACTTGGGGACTAAGTCTATGTTCAAAGGTGGGACACTGACCCCCTGCATGTTAACTGGAAAAAGATTATCTCAAGTACTGTTGACTACCCACAACCACAGCAGAGTGTGCAGGTGACCCTGGCTGACCCAACGAGGCAGGACATACTTGGTCTTAACATTGCAACTCCAAGTAAATGACAGCTGGAACCCACTCAGATCTCCTCACTGGGGATGGACATGATTACAAAGATATTATTGTCTGGACTTTTGCTGTTACTCATTTGCTATGAACAGTTTATGCTGTTTGAGTTGTTCAACAGTGGCATGGTCCAACCACAGACCACGCGGTGAAATGTATTCATGCTTAATTAGATGATGCTACTTTGGTCTGTTTTTGGCCCAGCCACTTGTGAAAGTTTGTTCTTTTCCTGCCAAGTTATGAGAAAACAATTTCAGCAGAAAAATAGTCTGAAGACAACCTGGATGCACCCCAGGTCTAAGCATTGGCACCTCATTGATTATGTCTTGGTGCGACGGAGAGACGTCCGCAATGTCCTCCATACCCGCGTGATGCCCAGCGCAGAATGTCAAACAGACCATCGGCTTGTGCGCTGTAAACTCAACTTCATTCTCAAATTCAAACCCAAAAGGGGCAGTATCCCAAGGAGAAGACTCCAAGTTAACAATCTCCAATCAGCCACAGTAAGAGACAGATTCCAGGCTAACCTTCAAACTAGGCTCGAAAACCATTCCACAGATTCTGCAGATTCCTCCCCTTGAATCAATTTGGCATCGTATTAAAAACAGCATCCTGCAATCCTCCGAAGAATCCTTAGGGTTCTCCCTCAAGAAGAACAAGGACTGGTTTGATGAAAACAATCAAGAGATCCAGGAATTGTTGAGGAAGAAGAGAACTGCCCACCAAGCACACCTTGCACTGCCATCCTGTCATGCAAGAAAAGCAGCCTTTGGTCTTGCATGCAGTAAGCTCCAACAGAAACTCTGTGACATCCAGAACAAGTGGTGGACCGATCTAGCTGAAAAAACTCAATTATGTGCAGACGCAGGTGATCACAAAGGATTCTATGAGGCCCTGAAAACAGCATATGGGCCTACGTACCAGATACAAAGCCCTCTACTCAGCGTAGATGGTCAAACGCTTCTAACAGATAAAACCTCCATTCTGAATCGATGGTCTGAACACTTTCAGACTCTTTTCAGTACCAACCGTGTAGTCCAAGACTCAGCAATTCAGTCCATCACACAACAACCGGTGAAATACGAATTGGATACTGCCCCCACTTTAGGAGAAACCCTCAAGGCCATACAGCAGGTGAAAACCGGCAAGGCAGCTGGGGTTGATGGAATTCCACCCGAAGTCTGGAAACATGGGGGCCTTGCACTCCATGCTAAATTTCATGAGCTTGTGGTGCGCTGTTGGGAACTAGGCGAACTACCTTCAGACCTTGGTGATGCAGTCATCATCACCTTGGATAAGAAGAAAGGAATTAAATCAGACTGTTCAAATTACCGGGGTATTACTCTGCTCTCCATTGCTGGCAAAATCCTGGCAAGAATACTTTTGAACAGACTAATACCCGCTTATAGCAGAAGAACTTCTTCCTGAAAGCCAATGTGGTTTCAGAGCCAACAGGAGCACCACAGACATGGGATTTGTTCTCAGACAACTGCAAGAGAAGTGTAGGGAACAGAACAAAGGTCTCTATGGAACCTTTGTTGACCTCACCAAGGCTTTCGATACTGTGAGCAGAAAAGGTCTGTGGCAGATTTTGGAACGTTTAGGTTGTCCCCCCAAGTTCCTTAAAATGATCATCTCACTCCATGAGGATCAGCACGGCCAAGTCAGATATGGTGATGCACTTTGTGAGCCCTTTCTAATAACCAATGGTGTGAAACAAGGCTGTGTTCTTGCACCAACCCTATTCACAATCTTCTTCAGCAGGATGCTCCAAAGGGCCACGGCAGACCTCGATGATCAGGACGGTATCTACATCCGATATCGTACTGATGGAAGCCCTTTCAACCCAAGGCGACTGAAGGCCCACACTGAGACCTTAAACCATCTTGTCCAGAGCTGCTTTACGCTGATGACGCCGCCCT